AATGATTGCCCACGAAATTTCATGCTGTTGCTGCTGTTGTTGTCATGACTATGATGAAAGCATAGCAAGCTGTGAACACAACATGGGTACCCTGCAAGACCTTTACATGCAACCTGGGCAGAATCTTGGACTGGAGCCTCGCAGGTGGCCTCCGTCACCGCCGCAGCTATGTCAGCCTGCGTTTTGGGCATGGTGTGTAAAAAAAGTGTTCTGACCCCAGGGTTCACTGGCCAGCAGGCCACGCGTTGGACAATGACATACAAGACCCGCAGCATGTTGCCTATCGTCGGAGACATCCTAAATTACCTTTTCGGTCCTCCCGTGCTTGCAACAAGCAGCTCTCTCTGCCTTCTTTTCAAAGCCCTGTGTTGCACGCAGCAAGCGCCGTCCCTTTCCAGAGTAACGCAGCTCGACGTCAAACCTTGCATCACATGGCTCCCTGGCGTGCTACCAGCAGCAGCTGTTTGCATTCAACTATTCATAACTTGGTCTGATGCTATTCAGTTGAGGACCTGTTGATGCTTCCGAGCTCAAAATAATTAGAGAGATGCGAGGGAAACGTCTTGTACTGCTGAGGGGGGAAATCTGGCAAGACTTCAGTGACCCAGCTTGCTACAATTTCCAGGCTTGGATCCGCTCCATCAGTAATGTTGCTGCTTCTTCCAACCGGAAGTCTTCCTCGAAGCCATCTTGGCCGCAGGCTGCTTGCCCTCACTGCGTAGGACGGGTGCTTGGATGCCGTCGCCCAGGCAGGAAGCCAACCTGTCGTGAAAACCATGGGTAACATTGCGGGGGCGAAGTTGTCTACTGAGGAAGAATTGAGGCTACACGGGCTTGGAAATCTGCAGCACCAAAAAAGAAGACTGAAACCTGTACTACGATTTTTTTTGCCATGCTCCAAATCCTTGCACTTCAAGAGAACCAGTAAGAATGCATCCCCTTTTTCCCAGATCCTTGGAGCTTCTTGCATGCTTTCAAAAGCCATGTTCATGGCAAGTGAGGTCTTGTTCTTTGGGAAGTGAGGTTTTGTGTGTGGGTGGAGAGAGAGGAAGGAGCAAGCCAAAGTTGTCTCATGATGCTTCTTTTCAGACCTACCTGATGCCCATGATGCCGATGTTCTGTGGTGTACCAGAGCATCCATGCCATCCCATTTCCAAGCATCCATTCCCAACTGCATATTTACATGCACTTCTCAGCCTGGTTTTTGGGACTACTCAAAATCTTTTTGCACCAGCCATGTGTGTGTGCGCTTGTATGCACATACATACATACATACATACATACATACATACATAGAAAGATGTCGCACAAAGGGCCAGAGAAAGTGTTAGGATCTAGAGTTTCCACTTCAGACAAAAGCCACAGCGGCTCCAGTATTATCCAGTAACAACGCGAGTAGGACCATGCAAGCGCGGATCAAAGACAGCACGACACAGTCACAAACGCCAGCGCAAGAACAGTTCAAATGCAAGCAGTTGCAAATCAAGACAAAAGTCTATCACGCAAATCAGCTGCCACTTGAGGAAGTGGAGGAGGAGTTAAGGCGCATGGGATATTGATGATGAAAACCAGGTAGCAGAGTAACAATGACCAAGCTCCAAGTTCCGATCCTCTCTTACTCATGGAGCGCCGGACTACCACGCTGCAAGTTCCTACAGCAGCGGCGTCGTTTCCGAGTACCGAGGCATCATCTCAACCTCTAATCCTCAACCATATGCCCAATAAGGTTGAAAACGGTAAGATTTGAGGGTCTCTTCAAACGTGGGAGGGAATCACGTCCCTGTCAGGTCCGGACTCCGAAGATTTCGTCAAGTAGGTTTTGGCCCTAAGCAATCACTGAACACGAAGCTGCGCATGGAAGCTGCACGACAGTCTACAGCATGAGGAAAGGAGTCCATTTCCACGGCAGCCAGACAGCAGCCACTGTGCTTGTCCAAGAGTGTCACCCTCAGGCAACGCCCAAAACAGACACCTTTCCAGTCAAAATCCGTTGACCTAAGCCCCGAGCCCACTCCCCACCCGCCTGTCAGCAAGTCCTGGACTCAACGTGGCACTCATGGCCAGGAGCCGGAGCGGTGGTAGCCCAGCTCGGCGCCTGCCCGGTCTCCCTGTCCCGTGCTCACGTCGTGCATCAGCAATTGCACTAGCAGCAAGACCGAATTATTTGCCTAGGCCTCGGGCTACCAGGTGTACAACCCGAACTCTATTCTTTGCTCCCTACCGCATGCGGCTAAGGCAAGCGCCACGACGTGCGCGCAAGAAAGATCATCGGAATGCTTAGAATGACTAGAAGGCTATGAGCATGCATTCGTAAACATTCACTGGCCCATGCCTAGGTACCACGTTCAGCCTGTTTTTGAGACTTGGACATAAATGACGAATATGTGTGCCTCCTTGGTTTCTCTTCGACGTTCTTCCACGGTCATGAAAACAGATGCATCCTTCCAAGGCCTCGCGTCCCGGGCATGAAGGCAGAGGGTAAGGGCGACGTCATTTCCGAGGCTTCGTTCGTGGAACCTGGGAAAGCTCCACAACTTCACAAGCGCCAAACACCACTGCCCCGGTTCTTGTGACATGTCTAGCTCATCTGCCAAAAAATACAGCCATCCGTGCTGTGGCCTGGCGCTAGTTGATATGGAGGTTGGGTGCATGCCTACCAGAGACAAGTAGCCTACAGTAGCGTTTAAGCTTGTTTGGCGTGCTGCCGCTCATACCTTCATCTTGACGATGACCGCGTGAAAAACATGGAAAGCACAACGAAGCTTGAGAGGTTGGGCACCCGGCTCATCGAAAAGGACCGCCGCGACTTTGGGCAGAGCCGGGTCGGCCTGCGCAGAAAACCCTCTGAACCACCAGTTGCTCAAAATCCCCACTTGGATCTATGTCTGTAGGTTGCCCAGCGGAGCTCACGCTTTTTAAGCTTGCAGCATGCGATGCGGGTCATTTACCCGGCCCAGGACCGGAATGACAGCAGCGGATGTACATGGCATCAAGGTCCACCTGGCAGAGATGTTATCTCTAGGTCTTCTTATCTAGCTGTGACAAGACTCAAGAAGGTTATTGGGCAGGTTTGAATTTTGCAATTTCCGCTGAGGGTCCAGTGGACTTCAGTTGCAGGACATGCCTTCATGGGAAGAAGAAAGAGCTCGAATTCAACAGGCGTGCACCTCCTGTAAGTGAGGCCCTTTCTCCTCGACAGCAAGGGAAAGCCAACACTCCTCCAAACAGCAGGGCATGCGGCATCATGCCAGGACATAAGAAGCTAAACCACGCAATGTGTCAGGTTGATGGCAAATGACCGGGGAGGGGCGTTTTCCTACTTTTGTGGCTGGTGTCTATAGACCCCAAGTAAGTTGGCCCTGTTTGTAGGCTTGCCCAGGTTCTTCTTGTGAAGGTTTGGGGAACTTTGGGGTTGAGGGAGACATTATCAACTGAAGTGGTAAGGTATGGCAAGCAGCTTGAACAGATCCCACATTAGGAGGCCCTCTGAAAACCTTTTCCATGCCCACCAGCGACGTAGCCGTGCGTGAAACGACCGGACCCCACGCTACAATTTGTTTGTCGAAGCTTCAATTCTGGGTTCTTCCAGGGCTGGCCAGGGAAAATCCGTGTCTGGAAATCCAAAATCAGATATTCCATCTGCGCGCCCGGCGCCCAACTCAAATCACCCTTTTGTGTGGAAAGTCTTACACACCAGGGTGCCCTGGTCCTCATTGCCCACGCTGCCAAATGTGAAAGGGTCGCAGCAAGTCTCCCAACTGCAGGGGCAGGTTCAGAATGCTTGACGGAATCTGGGAAGGTGACTTTCCTACAATCTTCGGCTTCAGACCTTTGGTGGGCAAAGGTCGAAAGCCCAGAGCTTAATGTCGCCATGGACTGAAAGTGTTTGCTGTAGTACCGCCCATCGCGAGTGTATTTGAAGAACCGAAGCTTCTCCGAAACGTTGAAGAGGGCATGCTCATAATTCTGTTGGCTTCAGCAAAAAAGTGAAAAACACCACATTGCACCACCCTCCAAAGGACCAATCATTACAAACTACCAGTTTGAGGTTGGTCTCTTGACTCTTGGAGATTACAAACCGCCACTAGCCGACCTCCGCCTGCTGCCATGCTTGAAGCATGTAGGGTCCTGATGGGGCGTGGTAAACGGTTTCAAATGGTTTCAGGCAATTTCGCAACAGTGGTTCGGATTGTTCGAGATTGCAGACTTCCTGAAGTACAGCTTGTTCTTCAGCACTACAGTCCAACGCACTGTATGACCGCTTCTCCAACAAATCTTGCCGCGAAACCAGCTTTCCATTTTCATGCTTCCGCGCGAAACCACTCCTTTGGAGTCTGTACATGCAGCAACCTAATTTGATGGGACTTAAGAATCCTACCAGCTGTCAAAAAGCATTATCTAACCATACACCAACACAAACTACCGCTGAGGAAGTATACTGCGGTGCAAAAGCCGACATGGTTGACAGCGGTGGGGTAGCGTTCCACGATGTAATCAAGCCAAAACTTGCAGCTCCTCGGCAAGCGTGTCAGGCAGATTGCAGCAGCAACTTCATGCTGGCCAAAACCAGCAGACTCACACAGCCTGTGTGCACGTGTGAGTCTGCCATGCAAGTCGGGAAGTGGAAAATCGATGTCTGAATCTCTGAACCCTACAAGGTAGGGTGATTCGATGGCTCGCCTCTGCAAACCGCGAATCCCTACGCAAGATAATCTAATTTCGAAAGAAATCTGCAACAAGCGCTGGTGGCTTGTCTGTGCATTTTTGACTGCCATTGTACTGTTGCAGTCATTGCTGTAACCCATGAACTTTGTGGTGAAAGCTACACAACACGGGCAGCACGCTGGTAAAAGAAGGGCGAGCATGGGTGAGCTAATCGCAAGCATGTACGTCAGTGCTAGAGCAGGCTTGTTTTGAGTTGCGGCATGCAAAATCGCAGGCGCATGCCCTGTGCTGCGAGATCTTTCACTGTCGCAGGCGTCAGCTATTTGTTGGGCATCTCACCCACGTCCAAAAAACAAATGCGCTTGGAGGAAGATGATGCCGGCGAAGCTGGATAGTGAAAATGGCGACAGTTCCCCTGCTGCACCTGAGCTATAAACATGGAAGCTGCTAACCCGCCGCGGCTGGAGTCCTTTTACCATCATCTGCTTGTTTGCCAAGCCGCTGGTCACATCCAGCGGGCTTGCGGGAGCCTTCATTGCTAAGAACAAAAGCCGTGTGCAAACTCACCTTCTGCTTGAAGGCGGATCTATGCTAGCAACATGTCCAAGATGGGCGAGAAGCCGGCAGCGTGGAAGTGCTGTCGATGGCCTCAGATCAAGTCAGCGACTTGAGGTATGCCATATGGAGTGCCGGACCGTTGGAAACTACGACAACAGGAACTCAAGACGTCACTACGGGTAATTCCCTCTCACAAAGCCGCACCTGCAGCATCTTCTTCCTGATTTCCCACGACACGGTCGTGCCCTCAGCTCACAAGCACAGCAAGAGATGGACGGCTAAGGAAATCAGGCATCATTCTACATCGATCTTTTGCAGCATCTGGGAGGCAACAAGAGGATGCTGATTCTAATGGCTGTCCCTTTGGTTGCGAACACCGTCTGCGTAGCCATGGAAAGAACCGAGTGCCAAACAAGAACCAAAGTAACACGCTGCAAACGTACTGTCTAGCCACAAGCCACCAAAATACAAAGCTCAATGGGATCTTGATTCACATTGCTACCTGCCAGTGAGCAACAAACTTGTGAGGCAAAGGCTCAGGCTAAACTCCGCCGGCAGATTCAGCCCTCTGGTGTTTGGAGTCACCCCTTGCAGTGGTTGGACTGGAGCCCGTGTTCAAGAGCCAAGCCGCTGCTGTCTGGATACTGACATTGCCAGTCTTTCCAGTATGAACAGCCTGAAGCAGGCCAGGACACTACACACTCACGCTTGAGAAGCTGCCAAGACCTTTTAGATAGGTGAAGATGAAAACTTTTGGCACGCAACGTCCAAATCAAGCAATGTTCAGGTCCTACTCCGGAGCAGCCAACTACACTTGAAAGTTGCAACCTTCCTGCTTAGGCTACAAATTCATAAGCTCACTTGGACATGTGAACAGAAGGATGTGCTGGCACATGCGGCTGCGCTTCCAGGAGACTCTCTCACTCAGAAAACGATGGGAGGTGCTTTTACTGCTTCTAGTCAAGCAACATCTGTACATGTACATGACAGAAACCGGAACTCTGCCTTCTTCAGCTCTTCCGTCCACTGGTTAGACAGGTTGGCCATCCTTGAGACTTACAGATCTTGAAATGGATTCGTAGGCTTTTACAGAGTAGCACGGGCAGCTACGATGGTAAGCTGCGCAGCAGATGGGGCAGTACAAGCCAGTGTCTGATACTCAAATGCAAACTCTCCAGGCTAGACATGGTACTTTGCTCAAGTCCCCTTCGACTGTGTGCTGTTTCCCTCCGTCTCAACCAGTTGCACTCAACGCCTACTATCTTGCAGCCATATCAAAGATAGTAGCCGAAAGAACATCATCACGCTTCTGCCAGTAGTTGTGCATCGCAGCGGCATCAACGTCTAAAGAATAGATTCACTGTCATAATCATTACAGCAGTCGAAAGTCGAAATGATCGAAGGGCACCTCACTCCATATTGCATTCCTTTAGAACGAATCTCATCAGATTGCCTGAGAAATCTCGCGCAAAATTTCCCACAGCGCCCTGCCTCTTGCCAATGTCATCCTCGCTTTCTGAGAAGTCAGCCTTTGTGCCGCAGCCAGATGGCGAGTCCAAAAAATCCATCTTAGAATCATGGCATCCTCGCAATAGCCAAATCAAAACAACAACAGCAGACAAATGGACTAAATGCGATTGGATGATGAGCGTCCTAGCTACGGTAGCACTAATCAGAACGAAGATGCCATTACCATTATTGGCAGCAGAAGTACCAGCAGCAGCGGCAGCAAAGTAGGAGCAAAAGGAGGTCACAGCAGGAATGGTGATATTGGCTGATCTGGCTGAGTAGTCGTGGTAGCAGTCGTCGTGGTACTAGTAGTAATAATAAACACCACGGCTCGAATGAGTCCACAGAGGGCTCTTGTAGCACTAGAAGGCCTATTGATCGCCAGCCTGTGAAGAGAAAGCCAAGCTTTTCGCTGAGACACCTGCACCAAGTCCCCTGGAGCTCAGACGTCAGTTCGTCTCCGAGAATGAGCCTATATTATACATTGCAGATTGCCCTGCAAGTGATGAGCAACGGGGGCCTCCGCTGTTCCTTGAACAAGGGGTCGTGCCGACGGAGCTCAGATGCCATGACTTTATGGCAATCACAAATTGATGCGCATTGTGTATGCAAACAAGGGCCAGAAATGATGAGCCGCCTGGGTCCGGGATGAGGAGCAGTACTTGCTCCTCGTGGTGTTGGGAAGCCACCTACAATTTGCCTTGAACTTTACAAGGGCTGAAGCTTTGCGGAGAAACAGCTACAAAGGTGCGCGGTCCCCATCCAACTCAGT